CCCAGCCCACTGACCGTAGCCCCTGGTCAGAGCCTGGAGCGCCTGGAGCGAGGGGGAGGGGCAGTGTAGCTCGCCAGTAGGCAGCAGGACGGCATTGCTCTCTGTCACTTCCTCAAAGGCACAGCTCACGCCAGCACTGAGGTCGGGCACGTTGCGCATGGCTACCGTCAGCTGGAGGAGGCAGAGGCTCAGAGCAGGGCACCCCTCACATGCACAATGCCCAAGCGCCCTCCAGGCTGCTCACCTGCACCCCAGGCGATGTCACTGACACGTTGTTGGGCCGGACCCGCACCTGGACACACTTGCTCAGCTCCTCTGCCAAGCCATGTAGGGCAGAAGCACCTGGACAGGCCCCTTTACGGCAACACCTGTTTGGGGTCAGGTCAGCAGTAAGAGGCTGGGGGCAGGAGAAAGTCTGCCCCCCTGAGCCCCAGGCTGGAAGAAGTAGGGGTGGCAGGGAGGCTGCCAGGGCATGGCTAGGGAGAGGTGGACCAGGCCAGTGGCCCACCTCACCCTGCCACCCTCACCTGTGCTGCAGCACACACCAGCCACAGTGGGGGTCACCAGAGCCCAGGCAGGCCGCACAGCTCAGGTACTGCTCACAAGTCTCCACTGGAAGCTGGCTCACCTGGGGACAGCCACATCAACACCTGGTCCACACCCACACCCACCACCCAGCACTCCCCACGGCGGGCCCACCTGCTTCTCACTCAGGAGGTAGATGTGCCGGTGGTCAGGGCTGAAGAGCAAGTCCCGCAGTATGGGGCTGCCATCCACCACAGGGACCGTCTCATACAGGTGGGCCTCCAGGGAGCTGTCAACCCGCACCTGAGCCATAAGACCAGGGGAGAAGGATGACAGCCAGCCTGGTGCCACTGCAGCACCCTGCACCCGTGGCATCCTCTTCTGGAGCCAGGGGCTTTCTAGGTCAGGGCTGTCTCCCAGACTTGGCCAGAAAAATGCTCCCAGGAGAGAGAGAGAGACAGACTGATGTTGCCCAACGTCAAGGAGTTGATGGGGTTGATAGTGGCACAGCCCTGCAGAAATACTGGAAACCACTGGATCGTATCCTTCAAGCATGTGGGCTCTGCAACTCACAGACAACAGCACAGGAAAGAAACGGGCCTGGAGCAGAGCAGCCAGGCCTCGGAGTTCAGCACCACCCTTCATGAAGCCTCCCCTGACCACCCCAGACCAGCACTTCTCCACCCAGGTATAGCGCCACATCTGGCAGGAGGGCAGGGTGAGAACTTTGCAGTTGGCTTGAATCTTGTCCAAGAGCAGGGGCAGGTTCCAGCCCCGGCTCTTGTGGCAGGGAAGCCCTGCAGGTCTAATCTCTGTCCTCTGAAACACAGGGAGCTGATAACTGAGGCCACAGCAGGCACCAGTGCCGGCATGGGTAGATGACTGAGGGGTCACCTGAGGAGCTGGGCCAGGATCATGGGGCTCAGCCTGGTGAGGGAAGGGAGACTTCACGTTCCCACCGCATCCCTCGCGCCGTATCTCAGAGACCACCCTCACTCCCATGTGCCAGGATGCCAGGGCCCACCTTCTTCAGACTACCGCTGCGTGTGCCAATGAAGACCACAGAGTGCTGGTGGTAGGTGTAGGCAGCCACGCTGGCCATGCCGTCGGTGTTGTCGGCCAGCAGGGGCAGCCCCTCAATCACATGCAGGCCGCCCAGCGGCTGGTTCAATACCAGCCCGCAGAAGTTCCCGTTGATCTGCATGGGCTGGTGAACAGAGGCGCGCATGAGAGGCGTGGGCTCTGAGGGAGTAGGCTGGGGACTGCCGCTGACGCGAGACAGCCAGGACAGCAGGGTAGGAGTGCATGGTGGGGTGGGGAGAGGTGGCAGGCAGACAGACGAGCAACAGGAGGAGGAGAAAGGGACAGGCAGCAACACAGAGGATGGAGTCCCCTACACCACGGCTAGGACCATGCCATGCTTTGGAAGGGCCCAGGCCAGGAGATGTACATCGGGGAAAGGAGAGGGGCTGGGGCAGAGGGCGGATACGGCAGGCTGGAGGGCTCACGGTGTTGATGCAGGGCAGCTCCTTGTTCAGCAGCCAGGGCAGGGCCAGTGTGCCCTCCCCACGGTAGCAGGACTGGATGCGGCGCCGGATGTGGGCGTTGATGTTGCTGAGGGTGAAGAGGCAGAGAATGGTCTGCCGGGGTGGGCTGGCCCTGTTCTTCTGGCCTTGGGAGAAGACGGTGAACAAGATGTCCTCGTCAGCTGGAACACCCAGGGCCTGAGCCAGCAGCAGGCCAGGCTTAGCCAGGTGGGCACTCTGCACCAAGCGGTACTCCACACCACGCCAGGAGCAGCCGATGGGGAACTCCACATATGAGTAGAACTCCGAGTCCCCCGCACACATGCGCACGATCTTGGATGTGAAGAACTTCTCGCCTGCAGTGTCCAGCAGCGTCTGCTGGGTGTCCAGCTGCAGTGTCAGGAAGTACACGAAGGAGGCGCTCACAAAGCCGTAGACGTAGTAGATGTCAAAGGCAGTGTACAAGGACAGTGTGTCGGATGGGATCTTGATCTGAGAGGAGACAAACTCATCCTGGTACACCTGGGGAGCAGGTCAGAGTGAATGTGGGCCCTCCCCCTGCACCCCCCGCCCTGCTCCCACAGCATGACCGCCCCACTGGGGAGGGCCATAGGAGACTGGACACAGGCCTGCCGTGAAATGGGCTCAACCCCCATCCCCTCAGCAGCCATCTGCACCTCAGCAGTGAAGGGCCAGAGTCCCCTCCCGGACCACAGCTCTCCCAAGAAGTGGCACCACGATAGGGTGAAGGGGGAGAGGAGAGGATGGGCACAACAGAGGGGTGGCAGGAGAGGCAGGGGAGGAGAGGCAAGTGGGCGAACCCACCAGACTGAACATGTCAGCGCTGTCCTCATCACCAATGAGCTTGCGGGAGCTCAGGGTGGGGAAGTACTCCGACTTGCCGTCGACCGCAGTGCCCACGAACAGCTTGCTGGGCCCTTGACCCTGCTCCACAATGACACCAGCCATGGAGTCAGGCTCCTTGACCCCCGACAGGTAGTGCTCCTTGCGGTGGTGGGGCTCGCCCAGCTTGAAGAGGTCGTCCAAACGCAAGAACTGGCAGATGCCCTGCCAGATGCTGCCACAAGCTACCAGCCGGCGAGCTGCATAGTCTATAAGCAGCAGCTTGTTGACGTTGTCCACTGGTGCCAGGCGGTGGGCACATACACGCATGCTGGGGGGTGGGTAGCAGCGGGCATTATCCTCAACAGGACCCGTGACATGGGCCCGCAACTCAGTCAGATTGGGGGCCAACTTGAAGACTCGGTTCACTGCACCCACAAACACCTCCCCAGTTACTCGGTGCACAGCCAGGTGCGTGAGTGTGGTGTCCGTCACCACGAAGGCACGGAAGGGCCTGCCGCTGCCCAGGGCTGCCCCCACAGTGAGGAATAGCAGAAGGAGGGGGCAGACAGCCAGCATGGCCAGCAGCTGCCCCGGGGACAGGCCTAGAGAGACAGCACACGGAGTCAGAGGCCTCGGTGTAAGCCACCTGCCCTCTGCTTGCCACAGAGGCCCAGGGCCACTCGCCCGCAACCACACCAGAGTCCCAGATGGAGACTGTGGCTGGGAGGGAGAAGGGCCCTGCAGCAGGGCGCCTGAGTGAGCAGCCAGTGTGGACAGGCTTGGGGGCCATCAATCACCCTTGCCCCTGCTGGAGAGGAGCCACGCCTAAGGGGGCAGATGCTCAGAAAGGCAGGGTGGGAGACCCTGGACACCCGTTTAGGAGCTGAGGAGAGCAACCACAGGGAAGGCCCAGGCCTCAGACAGCCTGTGCCTGAGCTGGCAGAAGGGGAATGGCAGGGGAATGGCAGGCAGAGAACAATCACAAACTGGGGGAGGGAGTGCAGGGGTAGGAATGCCACCCCAGAGCGGCACTGCCACCAGGAGCCCTGGGACAGAGGTCTGGAGAATCAAGGCCAGAGGCTGGACCAAGGACCAGCACACCCCCAATCCCAGCCCAGCTGCTTCCTCGCCCCAGGGCCTCTACTGGCTGTCCAGGAGTCTGCTGCCTGGCCTCCCTGCTACAACACAAAGCCAAGGCCTGCCTGCCCCACAGCCACGCACCCAGACAGGCTC